CCGCTGGCCGCGGCGCGAAGAGTCGGGATCCGCCGCAAGGCTGCAGCCCCGGGTGCTCGCTCGCCTCCGGCGCTGCGGGTTCCCCGCTCCGAAGAGCCTCTTGGTGTCCCTTTTAATCCGCTGACACTATCGACCACATCAAACAGGCAGCCATCGATCGCGTTACGTTAGGGGATCGCGTTACAAACGGCGCCCGCAGGTGGGCAGCAAGAGCCGAGCTCGCCTGGGGCCGGCACGGCTGGCTGGCCAGCAGGCATGGCGCAGGCACCAGGGCCACCAAGCAGGGCTCCACAGCCCGCTCCCCCGCGGCTCGGGTTCGGCACCAGTGGGAGAGAGGGTGTTAAGAGCGCGGGTCTGCCGCCCCCGCCCACGCGCCGGAGGCCAGGCAGCCGTTTCCGCCCGGGGGAGGCAGGGAATAGAGGATGGCGGGGTAGGGTCCTGTTTTGACTCTGGACTGATGCTCGGCTGGCACGATCCTCACCTCCACAGCAGCGCAGCGTCGGCGATCTCTGCGTCCGTGCCGCTGCAGGACGGAGGCCGAGCGAGGGCAGCTCTCAGCCAGGCCCCGCAGAAAGTTCTCCTCGTTCCGCCCAGGCTGCGTCGACTCCCGGCACCGGCCTGCGGAGACCACACGGAGCAAGGCCGCCTCCTGGCCTGCCCGCGTTACCAACCCCGAGTTCAAAAGAAACGATAATCATTGCGTTACTTGCCTGATTGGGGCAGGACTTAGCCGAGTTTTGCTTCTGGTGCCCACGAAGCATGGTCCAGGGTCCGAGGTTGTCTGGGCCCCCGTACTGGTTGTCCAGTGGGCCTCTGCTTCCCTGGCGCTCGCTGTCTTCTGCTGCTCTGCCTCCTCTCCCAGACGCTCGTCTCTCTCCGCGCTCTCTTTCCTTCTCCCTGTCTCCCCCTCTCTCTCTGCCTGTCTTCCTCTGCCCTCCACTCCCTGCCTCTGTGCAGTCTGGGGAGTAAAGTTTAGAATTTGTATATAGAAAGCTTGCCTTTTGGGGGGGGGTAGGGGTCTGCTGTAATCGTGTTGTTTCACCTTTTAACTGACCAAAGGACTTGAGCGCGTTTATTTGAGGAGAGAGGTGAGCGCGAGAAGCTCTTGCAGCCCCTAGTCGCCTCCTCTCCATCAGCTGCTTACAATGGGCCGCTGCTAGCGGAGTGCATTGACAATCTCCATTATTCGAGCTAGAAGGGCTGGGGGACAGGCAAGGGAAAGCCTTTATTCTGCTCTTTGAAAATCACCGCTTCTGCTCGTCACTAGGCGGTCGCCTGCTCCCTACATGAAGGCTGGAGCGACCGGGAAGCGCAAAACGCACCCCAAACACGCAGCGCTTCCTAAACCCCTCCCTGGTGAGATTTAAAGTGAGAACCAGAATTAAAAAACAAACCCTACCTCTGTCAATACTGCGTGGTCATTTACTTCCACCTTTACCTGAGGGCGTGGTGGGGCTCGGGAAGCTCGACCTGAGACAAACTTTTACGCTCTCCCGAGTCCAGGAGCTGGCGGACGGCCAAACGCGGCTCCTACCCCCAGCGGCAGCCGCGGCGGCTTTGTCACTCCGCACTTCTCCCGCGCCCGCCAGAGCCTGCCTAGGGGAGCGTGCTCAATACGAGGGGGGGTGCGACTGTGCGATTGGAGAATATGTAACTAATAGAAGTATCATTTCCCCCCAGTACGATCTTTCAAGGAAAAAAAAAATCCATTGAAAGAATTTTCAAAGTGCTGTCTTCGTTTGCAAAAAAGACACAGGCTGCCTGAGGGGAGGGGAGGAGGGACTCGGCTTTCCGCAGCCAGGGCGCGACTCCCGTCCGCTAGGTGGCAGCCGGAGCCAGCGATTCCTGCAGGCCCCTCAGCGGAACCCGCTCCTCCCGTCTGCCCCTCCTCCCACGACCAATCACCTTCGGGAATCGAGGTCTCAGTTTGTTTCAGCCTCTCTCTGTCTCTCCCTCGTCCTACCCCTTCCCTTCTCCCTCCACCTCTCCACATCTTCTCGCCCACCCCCTCCCTGTTTTCCAGAGACCCTGACTTAGCCGAACTAACCTCCCCAACCCCCGCCTCAACAAAATGGGGACTCATTTCTGTTTTAATAATTATTGAAGCCTTGTTTGGAGTTTGGAACAGCCTGAGGATACAAAACGGGGGGGCGGGGGGCGATTGAAAAGTTTATTTTTTAAAAATCATCTTTAGGGTGAATAGAAACCTTGATTCGGATCGAATTTGTGATAATAGCTGCAAATACCAGGAGTGTGCTTTGTCATAATTGAAACTATAATTCAAGATGTACTTTGGGCCAAAAAATAGGGAAACCCTACCTTGTTTCTAAGAAGGAAATAAAATGAGCAGAAGTCAACTTGGGGAAACAATTCAAACCCAGTATATTTCACGAGTCATTAAAATGGTGGGGTTTCATTCCCACTAAATTTTTTTTTCTAACGTTTTCAGTGACATTCTTTTCATGCTCATAAAATTTAATTTGAAAAACTTTTCAGAAGAAATCAAAATAATTTCTTTCTAATTCTCTTTTCACCCATCGCAATGTATTCTCCCCCTCGACATCCCTTTCCCCCTCTAGGATGTGTGTGCGTGTGTGTGTGTGTGTGTGTGTGTGACCATAGACGACCCATACTAATCAGGTCTCAGAGTAAATAGCGCAGGGCGATCTCAATGTAAATTGCGCTTGTCAGAAGCACCCCCCCCCCCACTTTCTCTCCTCCTCCCCTCGGCATCCTAGTCAGTAGGTAGCTAAGAGGGAGGGGAAAAAAAAGAAAGAAAGAAAAAGAGGTGGGGGGAGGGGCTCTCCAACCAATGGCGTGCGGGAGGCTTGGCTAACCTTAGCCTCCCATTTTCTCTCCCCCCGATTCAGGGCTCTGACCAGTCAGTCGCCTTTGATTATCAGTTGCCAGCAGCCCTTCTCTTGGCTCCTTGACACGAGCTCCATATAAGGCAGCGATCTCCATAGAAACGTGTCAGTTTCAATAGTAGTGTCAAAGTTCACTATATACAGACATTCGCGCAGATCCCCCTTTCGGAAACATTGCTCTGCGAGTCCTCCCGTTTAAACGCATTCAATTTTTGGGTCTCTCTCTCTCTCTCCCCCTCTCTCTCTCCCTCTCTCTCTTCCTCTCTCTCTCTCTCCCCTCTGTCTCCTCTCTCGCCCTGTCTTCTCTCCCCCTCTCGCCTCTCTCCCCTTTCTCCTTTCTTACATATTCTATTAGTTGTTTTCCCCTTATTCTTCTTCTCCTTTTCTCTTCCTTTTTCCCTCCTCCTGTCTCTTTTACTCCATTCTTGCACAAGAGAGAGGTCTAAACTTAAAAAAAAAAAAAAAAAGAGGAGGAGACACCCCCTTCGTATTCTTCTTATCGTAATTTTATACATATATGATTTTTTTTTTTTTGGAGGGAGGGTGTTGGTTCCTGGCTGAAGAGCACTTATTTAAAATACTAAAAAAAGAACATTTTTGGGCGATCTCCAGGGTTTTTTAACTAGCTCTGTGTGTTATAGCAGAAGAAGCAGAAGAAGGAGCAAGAAAGAGGAAAAGAAGAGGATTATTTATTCGACCTACTTTGGATGTCTCTCTCGCTTTTTTTTTTTTTTTTTTTGCAATTCTTTTTCCTTTGATTTTTATTTTTTCCATTTCGCTGTGAATTCGTCGCCGGTGTGAATTATCCCGTATTTTTCTCCCCCTTCCGTCACCTCTTGAAAGAAGAAGGCAGCGAGAGCTCGGCGCCACCGGCACAACAAAAAGAGCAAAGTGTGTGATCCTCCTCGCCGGCTGCCTCCCGCTCTCCAGCGCTGCCTTCCTGAATGGCTGGCTGCGTCCGGCCCTGGACCTGGCCCCCAGACACCCGCGCGCCCTGATCGCCGCCGCAGCCTCGCCCCGCGCCCTGCTCCGCTCCCCGGCGCTTTCCGCACTCCCGAGCCGGGCGAGGGCTCCCGCCGGGACAGCAGCAGCGGCGCGGGCGGCTCCGACCCCGGCTCGCGCTCCGACTGCAGCCCCAGCTCCAGCTCGGACTTCGGCCTCGGCCCGGGTTACTCCAGAGGCGCTCGCCGCAGCAGCTGAGGCGGCG